AAAAAAAAAAAAATTAATCTGCTCGTGTAAACCCCCGGAGCGGTGAAAAGGGGTCGGGGGAATTCACCGGAGCATTTGGCAACGCTTTGTGTGTTTTACCCGGAGCAATTAAAAAAAAACAAATAATAAAAATGCCTGCTCGTGTGGATTTACACAAGCACAGTGGATGCGCTCGTGTAAATTCACACGAGCAGGCCAACGTGTGATTTTTTTCGTTTTTTTTTTCCGGATTCGTAATCTACATAACAAGAGTATCGTAAAAACGTAAAAATTATCTCCGATCTGTTGACGATTTGCACGGGCTTTGCGAAAGAAAATCGAAAGGTTGAGAGAGATTTGAGTTTTTTTACTTTTTGTTTTTTGAAGAATGGTAAAAAATGTGCCTGAATGTTTAATTTTGGCCTGCACAAATCATTTCAGTTATATTAATGAATTGAGAGGCCTATAGTAGATATAAAATTTATAATATGAAAAAATAATGTGTATTGTATATAGATTTTTTATATAACATATAATACGTATTAGTGTAAAAAAAAGAAAAAAAAAGTGTATAGGTGGGCCCCCAATGTGGGGCCCTAGGCAATAGAGGTTGAGCCGGCCCTCAATGCATCACACGACAAAGGTGAAATGTACTTTTTGTATGAGCACGGTGGAACGAGAAAAAGTTTCGTATAGAGTACTTTATCGTCGATTCGTGGTACACACATCCGATTACTTAAAATACCGAGCTTTGAAAAGCATAATTGAATAACCTATATTCTAATAAATCAAACTCAAGACCCAGATTATTAATTTCGTATATAAAATTAAAAAAGGTATTATACAAATTTTGTAACTAAAAGGGAGTGAATTCAATTTCATTATCTAGGAGGATGTTCAAGTGAAATTAACCCTTTGTTATGGCTTGTAGACCAAGGCAAGAAGAATTAAATTTCTATTTGATTAGGGTTTGTCAAATTAATGTGTACTAGAAATCAAAATTTTCCCAAAATGAATTTTCTGAGGCGGCAGAATACTTTGAACTGTGTTCGAGATGTAAGAATCCTCGCCGTTCGCTCTCCGATTGGCCGCCGGCCGATCTCTACAGCTCCTCCGCGGCTTTGTCCAGATACTTCCAGGTATTAATTGGATTTAAATGACTAATAAAAGTTTACTATGACCTAATCTGGTACTGTTATTCATATTACATTCTTCTGAGCAATTAGTTTTTATTTTTGTTGCTGTTTTTACCACCGTGATTTTCGCCGTTAAATAGTAATTTGAAACCAGACATTTCGTGAAAAATGGTGAAAGAAAATTACACATTATCATAGTAAAAATTATTATTATTATTATTAAAAATTAATAATAAAAATTAACGGTGATTTTCACCGTGATTTTATTATTATTAAAAATTATTTAAAAAAAATTACAAAATAAACAATAAATTGTAATTATATATATTTTTTAATATTTATATTTTATTTTTGTTTATTTTCATAAAAATTAATATATAAAAAAATAAGAAAAAAAAGGAAAAATAATAAATAGGATTCGCGAGCCGGCTCCTGAGCTCATGAACAACTAAAAACTGGCTCACACTCGGCTCGATTAGAAATTAAAGCTCGAGCTCAAAAAACTCGAGCCCGAGTTCGAGCTTTTTTCGAGCTGGCTCATCGAGCTCATGAGTCGGCTCGAATCATTTACCACCTCTAGATGTAACTAAGCATTGAATTTTCTATACCACCAAACTATTTATAATTTTTAAATTTGTTGAAGAACTTGTAACGAAATCACTCTAAGTTATGGTGTTACTTTTGATGAAGGTCGTCACGAGTGAATTGAGGAATTCAGATTGTGCCAGAGAACACAGCTTACGTTATTGAACGATTGGGGAATTATTCGAGGACATTGACTCATGGAATCCATTTTCTGATTCCGTTTGTTGATAGAATTGGTTACGTTCATCGTCTGGATGAACAGGCGATTCCTATAACTAATCAGTTTATTACTACCGCGGATGATGTTTGCATTCAAACTGATGGAGTCTTGAATGTCAAGGCATGTATTTTTAATCTGTCATCTAAATTTGGTTTTTGTGGTAGATGAGTGGTGTTGACGCTGACATCTTCATTTTTTCGTGTTCTGTAGATCGTGGACACTGAGTTGGCCTCTTACGTATTCGCTGATTCAACGGATTTGACGGATCTAGTGTGCACGATTGCGCAGACATTTGAAACAAGAGAGATTCACAATATCACTCTCGATAATTTTTTGAAGGAAAGAGACACACTTTATGAGAAGATAAGGGTGAGTAGTATTTGATGATTGGGTTATTAGAGGGTGTTTGGCTAAGCTTATAAGATGTTTTAGAGATTATAAGCTCTTCCAAATTTTAGCTTTCTTTCTTCTGTATGCTTGTCATAGAAGTAGTAATAACCCATTTGCAAAATGAATGTGGCGCAGGTGTCCGTCAGTGGAGTTGTTAAAGATTGGGGCTTAGAGTGCCTTGGTTACGAAATAAGTGGGTATATTTTACGAAAATAAATATTCGTTTGTTTGGTTAATCTATCGTATTCCGCTTCGTCTTATTGATAAAATTAATGTCTTGGAAACTACAAATTCCATATTTTCTATATCTTGGAAAATTGGATATTTATTATCTTTGAATATCTCTTTGTTTTCTCAAGAATGTCTTGTGATATTACGTAAGTTCACTATATATAGAGACTCCATGTAATCAGATTTTCAATCAAGAAATAATAAGAAAAGTGTCTACCCAAACTAGAGGTGGCCTTTGTTCATATTCTTATCCACCTAAATTTTCAGCAAATACAAAATATAAACTTTAGTATTTCTCAATTCCAACAGATTGGCATCATAGCCTGGTTGTTCAGACAACTGGGGCGTCAAAAATAATTCATTAAAAAAAATCAGCCATGGCGAGTTCGAGCAACCAAGTTTCGAAAAATCTGCAACCGTCATTTCCTCTCTTCAGTGGAGAAAGTTATGATTTCTGGTATGTGAAGATGAAAACAATATTCATCTCACATGATTTATGGGAGTACGTAAACCAAGGATTTGATGACCCGGAAGATACTACAGGCCTTACAAACGAGCAAAAGAAACAATTAAAGGAGCATCAGAGGAAGGACGCGAATGCTCTAAATCTCATCCAACAAGGAGTAGCTGAGACAATATTTCCCAGAATTATCAACGCTTCAAAGGCAAAGGAGGCATGGGATATTCTTCAAAAGGAGTATCGGGGCAACGACAAGGTCAGAGCCGTGAGACTCCAATCCCTGCGAAGAGATTTTGAAAATCTAAAAATGAAGAATGATGAGAGTTTAAATGACTACTCATCGAGAGTTGTGGATATTGTAAATCAAATGAAGACACTTGGCGAACAAGTTGATGATCGAAGAATTATCGAAAAAGTTCTCATTAGCTTGCCGGAAAAATACGATCCGATTGTAGCGGTGGTAGAAGAGACCAAAGATATTTCAAATCTAAGTTTGAAAGAACTTATGGGTTCAATAAAGGCGTTCGAGCAAAGATTGAGTAGGCGTTCGGAAAAATCCATTGAAAGCGCTTTTCAATCCAAACTCACTATCCTAAGGCGAGATAACATTATCGGTGATCGAAACAACGGCGATTCTCACCGAGGTGGCAGATTCGGAAGAGGAAGAGGTCCAACTTCCAGAGGAAGAGGTAGAGGAAGAGCCAACTTTGATCGAAATTCCAATTTCGAGTCAACTCAACAAAGGTGTGGAATTTGCAAAAGAGGCAGCCATGTTGATAAAGATTGTTGGTTTAAAGGTAAACCACAGTGCAACAATTGCAAGAAGTTTGGGCATGTTCAAAAAGATTGTCGAGTCAAGCTTAACCAACAAGCCAATTTTACCGAGGAACAAGAATGTGAAACGATGTTCTATGCCTGTCAAACGGCAGTGGAACCACAAAACCAAGTTTGGTTTATCGATAGTGGTTGTAGCAATCACATGACAAGAGACAAAAATATTTTTGTCAAGCTCGATTCAGCCACAAAATCTCAAGTCAAGATGGGCAACGGAGAACTAGTCAAAGCCGAAGGAAAAGGAACTATTGTCGTCGGAAAGAATGGAGATAAAAGATGCATCAATGATGTTTTGCATGTCCCAGATTTGGACCAAAATTTGTTGAGTCTTGGACAACTTGTCGAGAATGGATATTTTCTCGAATTCGGAGACTACCAATGGTGCAAAATTTTTGACAAGAATCGTCAATTTGTAGCAAGAATCAAAATGCAGAAAAATCGCAGCTTTCCTATCTCTTTTGGCTACCCAAACAATGTCGCTTTGAGAATGGATGTTGTCGATGAATCTTGGTTGTGGCATAGAAGGATTGGGCACTTAAATTTTCAAAGTCTTAAGAATCTAAAAGAGAATGAGATGGTCTATGGGCTTCCATCTATCAAAGAAGTGCAAGAAACGTGTGAGGGATGTGCACTTGGAAAACACCATCGAGAGTCATTTCCGAAAGAAAAAACTTGGAGAGCAAAATCACCGCTGGAGCTTGTTCATACGGATGTGTGTGGGCCAATGTCGACTCCAACTCATGCCGGTAACAAGTATTTTCTCATTTTCATTGATGATTTTACGAGAATGACTTGGGTGTATTTTATGAAACAAAAATCTGAAGTGTTCTCTATTTTTAAGAAATTCCAAATGTATGTCGAAAGACAAAGTGGGTTTCTTTTAAAAGTTTTGAGAAGTGATAGAGGAGGTGAATATAACTCCAATGAATTTAACAAATTTTGTGAGGATATTGGTGTCGATAGGCAGGTTACCGTTGGCTTCACTCCACAACAAAACGGAGTTGCCGAAAGAAAGAATAGAAGCATTGAAGAAATGGCGAAATCGATGCTTTATGAGAAGGGATTGCCCAAAGATTTTTGGGGCGAAGCTGTGTATACGCCGGTCTATTTGCTGAATAGATGTCCTACAAAAGCCTTGAATAGTAAGACTCCTCTCGAGGCTTGGAGTGGGAGAAAACCATCCTTGAGTCACTTGAAAGTTTTCGGGTGTATTTGCTATGCCCATGTTCCAAGAGAAACGAGGCGCAAGCTTGATGAAGTAAGTGAAAAATGCATCTTTGTGGGTTATAGCTCAAAATCAAAGGGCTATCGACTATTTCCTTTGTCAAAAAACAAAGTCATTGTTTCACGAGATGTCTTATTCAATGAAAACATGGCACATGACTGGAAAGAAAAGGATGTACAGGTTCAATCTTACTCTTTTGAAGAAGAGAAAGAAAATCAAGAAGATGATGTTGAAGATGAGATTCCGGGGGAGGTTCCTCCAACTACAAGCCCACCATCTTCTCCATCAAGCTCAAATTCTTCTTCTCCGTCAAGTTCAAATTCTTCATCTCCAAGTTCAACTCCAAGGAAAATGAGAAGCTTGAACGATATTTATGCTAGATGCAATTTTTGCATTGCTGAACCGGAAAATTTTGAAGCAGCAATAAAGGAGGAAGCATGGAAGAAAGCCATGGAGGAAGAAATCCAAGTTATCGAGAAAAATAAAACTTGGGATTTGGTGAAAAGACCTCAAGATAAAGATGTAATTGGGGTGAAGTGGATTTTCAAAACGAAGCTTAATTCTGATGGTTCGGTTCAAAGAAACAAAGCAAGGCTCGTAGCAAAAGGGTATTCTCAACAGCCCGGAATTGATTTTCAGGAGACGTTTGCACCGGTGGCTCGATTGGATACGATTCGGACACTTATTGCATTAGCCGCTCAAAAGGGTTGGTTTTTATATCAACTTGATGTAAAATTGGCTTTTTTAAATGGAAAATTGGAGGAAGATGTGTATGTCGAGCAACCACAAGGCTTTGTCGTCAAAGGAGAAGAAAGCAAAGTGTACAAGTTGAAGAAGGCGTTATACGGGCTAAAACAAGCACCTCGAGCATGGTATAGCGAGATTGATTCTTATTTTCTCAAGAAGGGCTTTCAAAGGAGCAAAAGCGAACCAACCTTATATGTGAAGTCACAAGGTACTACCAATATTCTTATTGCTTCACTTTATGTTGATGATTTGGTGTTCACCGGAACCAATGGTGAAATGATTGAAAGTTTTAAAAGAGACATGATGCAAAAATATGAAATGAGTGATATGGGTCTCTTGCATTATTTCTTGGGTATTGAGATTTGTCAAAACAAAGATGGCATTCTTATTTATCAAAAGAAATATGCCAATACTCTCCTTGAAAAATTCAAAATGGGAGATTGCAAATCGGTGGCTACACCTTTAATCGTAAATGAAAAGTTGAAGAAAGAAGATGGAAGCAAGGAAGTGGATGTTTCGATTTATCGAAGTTTAGTTGGAAGTTTGTTGTACTTGACCGCAACAAGGCCGGACATCATGTTCGCTACAAGCATGTTGTCAAGATTCATGCACAAGCCAAGTCAAAATCACTTTGGGGCTGCAAAAAGAGTGCTACGATACATTCAAGGTACTCTTGATTTTGGTATTATATGAAAGGGGTGTTGAAGCAAACTTGTTTGGATTTTGTGATAGTGATTGGGCTGGATGTGTTGATGATATGAGAAGCACATCGGACTATGCTTTTTCTCTTGGTTCGGAAATATTTTCTTGGGCATCAAAGAAGCAACAAAGGGTGGCACAATCGTCGGCCGAAGCCGAGTATATTTCGGCATCCTTGGCAACCTCTCAAGCATTGTGGCTAAGGAGGATTTTGGAAGATATTTGTTTGAAGCAAAAGGGAGCTACAACTCTCTTATGTGACAACAAGTCAGCTATTGCAATGGCAAAGAATCCCGTCTATCATAGTCGAACGAAGCACATTGCAATCAAGCATCACTCTATAAGAGAAGCTGTGGAAGATCGTGAAATTCAAATCAAGTATTGCAAGTCCGAAGAACAAGCTGCTGACATTTTCACCAAAGCTCTTCCTAGAGACAAGTTCGAGTTTTTCCGTGAGCTGATCGGAGTTACGCAAGCCATTAAGGGGGAGTGATAAAATTAATGTCTTGGAAACTACAAATTCCATATTTTCTATATCTTGGAAAATTGTATATTTATTATCTTTGAATATCTCTTTGTTTTCTCAAGAATGTCTTTTGATATTACGTAAGTTCTCTATATATAGAGACTCCATGTAATCAGATTTTCAATCAAGAAATAATAAGAAAAGTGTCTACCCAAACTAGAGGTGGCCTTTGTTCATATTCTTATCCACCTAAATTTTCAGCAAATACAAAATATAAACTTTAGTATTTCTCAATTCCAACACTTATACGATTTACTTCATGAAATTCCAGGGAGTATATCTCCTCCACCAGAAGCGCAGGCAGCAATGGACTTGTCTGCTGAAGCAGAGCAAAAAAGCAGAGCTCGAGTTACATTATTTGAAGGTAATGTACCAGAGTTGCTCCTTGACAAAGTCGTTGCTTATCTTTTTATCAAATTACTCTTGCATTTAGGGTATAAATGTAATTCTCGAAATATTCGCTTATGCACTAACAACTTATGCTTAACATCTTT